ACCTATCTTTTCCTTCCTTTTCTCTATCTATCCATCATCCCTCTCATCTATCATCTCCATACCTACCTTCCTTCATTTCTTTTTCTATCTATCCATCATCTCTCATCTCCATACCTATCATCTTCCTTCCTCCATTCATCATCTATCGTCTTTGTGTCTTCTCTCATCTATATATCTCCTTTCCTTCCTTTTCTCTATCCATCTATCATCCCTCTCATCTGTCATCTACATGCCTTCCTTCCTTCCTTCATCTATCCATCATTTCTCATCTCCATACCTCTCACCTTCCTTCCTTCCTTCCTTCCTTCCTTCCTTCCTTCCTTCCCCATTTCCTTCTTTCCCATCTCTTTCCTTCTTCCTTTCCTTTTCTTAGTCTCCTTACAACAGTTTACTTAGGGACCAAAGTTACAACAGCCTTGGAGGGGAGGGAGGACGCCAAAAAAGTGACCTATGACCATTTTTCACACTTATGACAGTTGCAGCACTTCCCTTCCATTGATTCCTATTTATGACTGGTCATGTGATTTCCCTCCCCCCTTGCAACCTTCTGACAAGCAGAGCCAACAGGGAAGCCAGGTTCACATGTCACTAACTTAAACCCCCCCCCCCCCCAACAATTCACTTAACTGCTGCAAGGAAAGTTGTAAAATGGTGCAAAAAAGAAATGTGTCTCGCTTAGTGACATAAATTGGGGGCTCCCAATCATGGTGGGAAGCCTGTATTATTATTTTTATTGCTGTTATTGTTGTTATTATCATGATCATTTCCCCCCTTAGTTGCAATTAGAAACCCAGGATCACCTGGGGGCCTCCCAACCCCGCAAAAAGCGGGCGGGGCTTGTGTGCGCGCGTGTGTGAAGAGAACGTCTCCCCTGAGGCGACCGCCTTTACCCCGCCCCGCCCTTCCCAAGCTCGAGCCGCCTCAGCGTTTCCCGCCTTTTTCGTACACAGGCGCCCTGGGGGGGGGTTCCCCCGCGCGTGGGCGTCCCGGCGTGCGTGCGCGTGCGCAGGGAGGGGGGCGGCACCCTCCCCCCTCCCTCCCCCCCCTTCCGAGGCGGCACTTGGGCGCAGCCGTTAGTCTCTGCTCCCCCCCCCATGGCCGTTTGAAGGAGGGGAAGGAGGCGGGGAAGATTAACCCCCTCGTGCCCGACTCGTCGCTCCTCTCTCGCCTCTCTCTCTCTCTCTCCCCCCCCTTCCTCCTCCTGCAACTGAGGCGGCGCTGAGGGGAGAGGGCGAGCGCGAGCCGGGGCCGGCCAGGCGCCCCGGTGCATTGTGGGACGGAGTGGGGCAAGCCGGAGCGGCGCGGGGAGTCCCGTCGGCGGGCGGGAGAGCAGCCGAGACGCGGTAAGGAGAAGGCCGCGAAGGTGGGGTGAGAGAGAGAGAGGAGGGAGGTGCGCTTAAAGTGGAACGCGCCCCCCCAGGGTATGTGTGGGGTGGGGAAAGCGCGCGGGAAGAAGCCGGAGGGGGCGTGTGTGAGGAAAGCCCGGAGGGGCCCCTTAAAGAAGGCGCTCCTTTAAAAAAAAAAAAAATCTTGGCCGCCTCCGGAGGGGAAGAGGTTAATCTTTCCGCCCTCCGACATCTTTCCTTTTTTTCCCCCCTCACTCCCTCCCCGACGGGCGGGGAGGGGTGGGGGGGGTAGGTGAGCGGGAGGCCTCGCGCGTGCGCTGTGCGCCTGGAACGCCCGGAGCGCGAGCCTTAACTTGGCTCGCGCCGCTCTTTCTCCGCCGCGGCCACGCCCCTCGGGGGGAGGAGGAGCGAGGGTCGAAGCCCCGCCCCTTCCCCCCGCCCGAGTTGGGAAGAAATGGGACGATCCGGCTCGCTGGCGACGCTGAGAAGGCGGTGGATGGAGGGGCGGGCGGGAGTGGATGGAAGGGGCTTCTGCCGCCCTCGGTTGGGGTCCTGGCGGCCGGGGCTGCTGGGCTTCCCGCTTCCGCCAAAGGCAGGGCAAGGACTTCCCGCCTGGCTTTTGCTTCGGAGAGACTCCGGATTAAGCGGGTCGTGGGAACACCAGAAGAACCAGACCCATAATCAATGACCAGAAGAACCCGGCTTTGCCTGGTCTATAGAGAGTCTCGGGCATCCATGTCCTGGTGTCTCAAAGGTTGTGCCAGGGGGGGGTTGGACTAGATGACCCCCAGGTCCCTTCCAACTCTACTATTCTATTTCTATTCTGCATTCTATTCTATTGTGCTTTTCTTCCAAAAGGCAAATGGACTTTTTTGCCAGGGTTTTCTTCTTCTTCCTTGAAAAGGTTTTGTTTTTCAGCCAAGAAGCTTCTTCAATTCAATTCAATAAGTTGGGATGCCTACGGGGAGCCTCAATCTTCAAAAGTCGTGGTTGTCCCAAAGGTGCTTTTTCCCCAAAAGGCAACTGGACTTTCTTGTGAATCGAGGTAGTCCTTGATTTACAGCAGTTTGTTTAGTGACCATTCAAAGATACAAGGGCACTGAAAGAAGGGATTCAGGATCGTTTTTCACAGAAACATTGCAGCATCCCCATGGTCACGTAATAGCAACTCAACCACTTGGCAACTGACGCATATTTATGACGGTTGCCGTGTCCACGAGTCATTGATCCCCCTTTGCGACCTGGCAAGCAATGGGGAAGCCAGATTCACTTAACAACCGTGTGACTCACTTAAGAACTGCAGCGATTTCCCTTAACTGTGGCAAGAAAGGTGGTAACATGGGGCGAAATTCAGTTAACAAATGTCTCACTTAGCAACAGAAATTTTGGGCTCAATTGTGGTCATGAGTTGAGGACTATCTGTATTGGACATTTTTTGGTTCTTTTTTCCCTGGAAAATGCTTTACTTTAGAAGCTTCTTCAGTTCTAAACTTCTGTTTTCAAAGAAAGAAAAGCAAAGTCCAGTTGCCTTTTGGAAAAAAGCACCTTTGGCACAATCATGACTTGGATGATTGAGAATCTCCATGGGCTTCCCAATTTATTGAACTGAACTGAACTGAAGAAGCTTCTTTGCTGAAAAGCAAAACATTTTCGAGGAAAAAGAAACAAGAAAATCCCATTGCCTTTGGGGGGAAAAGGCACCTTTGGGGCCTGGTTTGCCGGGTTCTCTCAGTCGCTTGGGGTCCCTCTAATGTACATTTTAGCCAAAAGTATTATATAAGCTCTGTGTTTGTGTCCATCCTTCAATTGAGAGCCAGGATGACATACTTGGAATTCTGTAGTCATCTCACCAAAATTTTGTTACATTCCTGAAGTGTTTGTAATATTGCCCGTGTATAACGCCTAGGAGCTCCATTACTCTCATATGTCTACAGGGCCTCTGGTCATGAAGAGCTTCCTTTATCTAGAGTGTTTTGTAAAGGAATGGTGGTGCCTCATTTGGGAAAGAGAAGAAAATTGTTAAAATATTGCTCCTGTTTATTAGTCTGAGATATTTAAAACTTCAGCTGTACTGTGGCATGATCCAGCTGAATGTAAACTTTTATGTAATTGTCTCTTTGATATTTAACTAGTCTCTTAAAATGTATTAAGCTCTCACTTTAAATTCATATTCGTATTCATATAGTTTTAATTACAAGTATCACTTCCTTCATTGAAGTATTTCGATTGTATTCCATTTACCGATTTACCTGGTGCAACTCAGTAACGTTTTCTCCTAAACATTTCTGTGATTGGGATTTCAAGTATTTTACAACTCTGACATTTATTGGAAGGAGTTTTAATTGAATTTAATTAAAGTATGTGATTACTACATTCACAAGTATTGGGAGATTATTTTGATGTTCAACTAATGACTTATTTATACAAATACCTATTTATGTGAGCTACTTTAGCAAACCAGAAAGTAACGATGTTGTGTTTTCTGTAAACTAGAAAAATGTTTTCCCCCTCTTGATTGTGGAATGAAACAAATTGTTCACTTAAGCAGTTATTAACACAAAATAGTAACTTATCGATTGCCATAACTAATCTGCAGTGTAATGTTCATTCAGACTTTTAATTTGCAATAGAGTTACATCTATTTAGATACTTGACCAGGTACCCATAACTGAGTAGTGTTTCCAGAGTTTGTGATGCTCTGGAACAGTTTTATCTAGGGGAGACATCAATACCAATCTTGATACAGGCTCCAGTTCGATATTACTTGTGGCCCTGTCTGAAGCAGTCATACTTGGCTGTTCATGTTCATTGTTTTCCCTGGGTATTCTCTGTTCCTCTGGTTCTCTAAACTCACAAAGGATCTTTTCACAACCATAACCCTAACAGCAAAATACATGCATTGGGGACTCAACGTTTGGGTGATAGTGGTTTCTAATGGATGAATAGGGATTAATTATTTCAAATATTTTACTACAACTCACTACAGTAAAGGGAATTGTTAACTTAAGCATTCAGACTTAACAATGATTGAATAAACAGTATCCAAAAGCAGCAGTACACACTTATTTTATCCACACACTGGCAGAGCTCACAACATAGAATATCAAAATTAAGGGGGGGGAGGAATCTGCAGCGTTGTGTGGACTCCAATCTACCTCTAAAATAAATGGAATCAAAGTATTTGCATTTTTTGGTGTTTGGTGTGAATTAAAAATCCCCTTTAAAAATCGCCAAACCTGTTCTTTGTTCCATTTTAACTGCATCCATTAACCATAAGAAAGTTGTCCATCCCAGGCTTAATGAATTGAGTGAATGTAGCCTATTGTCGCTTATTCACTAGCCAATTTACTGTTTATGTTTAGTAAATTGGGTTCATCCACAAACCATGGAGAAGCAGTCATTTGCATTCAAAATAGAAAATGGATTGGTCAGTATTTTGGGTATGGGTGGATTAAATAAAATATGCTAACTATCCTGAGACAAAAGATGGAGGGGAGAGGGGGAGAGAAGAAAGCAAACAAACCGTGAACCCTGGTCACAAACAGTCTGCCACTATTCTCAAATATCTATGAAATTCCATGGTTATCCAGTGTCAGAAAAAGGAAGGAACTAAAGACTGACCCAGTTTAATGGCATTTTTGAATGATGTGTCAACCATGTTTGTAGCCATAACTCACTTTCCCCCACCTTTTTTTTTAACAATTTAGGAAAAGAAGGAGAAGCCACTATTTCCCCTTCTGAATAACAGAATTGGCTAGCCAGCAAGGCAGATAAAATGATGATCTAACAAATATAATCAAACTGAAGAGGCAGTTAGCACATAGCACTATCACCAAGAATGTGGCAAGAAAAGTGTATTTTCTGCCCCCATTTGATGTACAGGTTGACTGATAGTTTTCCAAATAGTTTATTGCTGGCCCATTGGGTCAACATTCCAGTTTTGAAAACCTGTTTGGCCTTTACCATTATAGAATGTTCTACAAAATGGTTCACATCCAGTGCCCTAGTTTCAAGTAATGGGTGTAGCCACTATATTGTTTGACATCAAGGTCTAGAATCATCTGGTAGCTGTCATTTTTCAGACAGTCTTGAAGAAGATTGATTTTCTAGGATTCGATGGATCCATTCCAGCTTATCTTCTTGTCATAGTTTAGCAAATTATTGAGTCCTATTGATAGATGGTATAGATCCTAAATTGACATGATTGGCATCCTTCGGGGCATTCTTTATTTCACTTAAACTGCTGGAAGAAATAATCCATAAGCTTGGACTAAAATGCCATCATTGTACAAATTATTTCTAATTCCAAGTATGCAGTGAAAAACCAAAAAAAGATGGTGAAAAGATGACTGAAATTCTGGATATATATGTCGGGCAAACAAATTGAAACTTACTTTAGGCAAAACCAAATGTTACTGATGGGGCATTCTCAGTGTGAGTGGAGAAGAGAATACGATAGATGTGGTCCTTACCACGGAGACAGAATGTTACCAGGAATGTTTTAAAGAAACAACCAAAAACAATGTATGGCTGGTTCCTCAACTGCTGGTGTGAATTAAATGCAAGATTTACCAAGTTTTGAACCTTTGTTTATCTTCTTTAAAGCTGTTTTTGTTTCTATGTTTTAACAAAATATCTTCATAAGGCTTCTGAATTATTCTGATGTGACCATCAATAATTCATTTGTCTGTGACTTCATTGCTCTTCTCCTTGTCAACCCTTGATAATTCCACATTCATGCACTAAGTTAAATTGAATTGGTCTTGGTCTGTATTTGGAGTGTTCTCAACAATTCATTTCAATCATCACAGTTTGGTATGGATTAACATCTACAAAAGGAGTACAGGCTAACTGAAAAGAAAAATGCCTACTGCTTGAATAGGCGTTGCATTTTGGTGTTCATAAGGAGTTTCATATGGCCTTTTATTTCTAAATTATATTATGCAAAGATTAAGAACAAAAATCAGTTTGTAATTACATATAGTAAGATCACAATTGTTTCATTGGGATTTAACTCCGCTGGATTGTCGCTCTACAATTTAGCAGCCGAAATTAAATCTAATAGGCCGTTTCAGGAAGAATTTTGATGTATTTTCTATACAAAAACAGTTGGGAGATCACATTTTTATGTAGAGTATGCGACTGTATGAAAGACAACTTTTATGCTATATGTTTGTATTTTTTTTAAAACCTAGGATAACAAGTCCAACCTATTTCATAAAGAAAAAGAAAATCTGCCGTTACTAACCGTGTGAGAATCATGTCTGTTCGAGAGTCCTTTAATCCAGAAAGTTACGAACTTGACAAAAGTTTTCGGTTAACCCGTTTCACGGAACTTAAAGGCACCGGCTGTAAAGTGCCTCAGGACATTTTGCAGAAATTGCTCGAATCTTTACAAGAAAATCATTTCCAAGAAGATGAACAGTTTTTGGGGGCTGTTATGCCAAGATTGGGTAAGAAACCTTTTACTGGTTATAATGATTTCTTAGGTCTCAGATGTGATCCCCTTTTGCGACCCCTTCAGTGGGGAAGCCAGATTCACTTGGCAACCGTGTTACTAATTGAACGACTGCAAATGTGGCAAGAAAGGTCATAAAACAGAGCAAAACTCAAGTATTTCACTTAGCAACATAAATTTTGGGGTCGATGGTGGTCGTAAGTCAAGGACTGCCTGTATAATCATTATGTAGCCTAGTGCACGTTAGACTCTTTCTGTGAAGAGTCCTTGGGAAGACAGCGTTGAAGAATGCGGCCGCATCAATGAGAAAAGAAACACCGAACTACCATTCAGTGTTTTCATAGTCTCACTAGGGTAGGATATGCACAGTTTGGATTACCTTGTCTGCTCGGAATATGTAGAAATAGGCAATTAGAAGAACAGCCCAATATCCTGAAAAATAAAGTGAGTTACTTTTATTACAGGAATTGGCATGGATACTTGCGTTATTCCTTTGAGACACGGAGGTCTGTCTTTGGTCCAGACAACAGACTACATTTATCCCATTGTGGACGACCCCTATATGATGGTATGATGTCTTAAAACGTTGGTCACCTTTTTGTCAAATAAGAACTTTGGAGGAATGGGGATGGATGTCAGACTATCGATTTCACCTGGCTTTGGTTTATTTAGTCTTTCTCAGTTTTGTCTGGAATTACCAGGCCTTTGAAGAAATTCCCCCCCCCACTCCCGCAGGTGGGGACTGATCTTGGTTTGAGCATTTATATTATTTCTACTCTAAGTAAATGAATGAAGGCCTTACACGGTGCTACCTTGGTACTCAATGCATTTTTATGTGAAAAATTTGTACTCATTGTTTGTTTAGTAATCAACACACAAGCTAGAACTTGTTGCTGTCAGCTGGCTTATGAATCACACTTCATTATTCCTTATGGGAAAAAATTGTTTGGTACTCACTGTTTTTGGGTACTCATCCCGGAACAAGTTAACGATGAGGTACGGCTGTATAAGGAATTCAGTAATATTCTACTGTGTTCATCTAAACTCGGAGAGAAAGGTTTTAACAATTTTTTTAAAAATCAGGATGTACTACTTTATCCAGTGGAAGATAATATACAAAGAATTTCTGTTTGGTGCATTGGTTAGTCTGCTCAATATACAACAGAGCTAAATGCAATAGTAATAGCAGTCCTGTTATTTCTTTCATTCATTACAGTTGCTTTTTCCATCTGCCCTCCCTCAAATTTCAGTTGGTAGATTTCTTGGCCTCACCCAGTCTCTTTTTAAGATTAGCTTGGGAAGCAAGTTAAGCCTTAAAACAGCAATTCAATGAGAATGGTGTGTGTTGTTTTTTCCAGGGACGCATCGCATGTGCCAATGTCCTTAGTGATCTCTATGCCATGGGAGTCACCGAATGTGACAATATGTTGATGCTTCTGGGTATCAGTAATAAAATGACAGACAGGGTAAGTTCCTTTAATTGTGATGATCAGAAATTCGAATATGTTATTCTGTGTACCTATAAATTAACATTAATCTGAACAATACCAATAAATGGTATTTCAAGCATCTATAATCCTAAATCTGCCAATTGTCCACCTCTGCTCTTTCGATTATTAGTTACTCTTGCTTACATTACCGCCCTTGAAAATTCTAAAAATGACTAAAAGTATCGATTCTGGTGTGATCATTATATTCAAACAGTTCAAAATCATGAAAGGCAAAACAGACCCTTACAATTTTAACAATTCACTACATATTTTTCAGAACGGATAATCAAATACCTTGTAAGGGTGTTTACTCTAATGCCTGTTATTTCATTTAAGTTCTAGATCTGAATTAAACCAAAAGATATTTTCATGATTTCTCATCAAATTTGGGGGGAAGTCGCACAAGAAAGTTTGAAATAATTGAGTCAACAATCATCTCATCTTTTGCTAACATTTCTAGTAACTTATGCTAGAAAGTTGCAACAGGAGTTGGGATCAGACACTTCAGTAAACCACTGTGCATTTTACCAAGTTTGTTGCACAAACTCTCTAAGGATAACTCGTCATTAAAGCTCTACTCTGGTTAGCTCTCCTAAGCCATAATATGGTTTGCTTATTCATAAGAATTTTTTTCAGTTGGAGAACTAGCTTCAATCCAGCTGGAATAAAATAACTAAAAGGTTTGTTGCACATTTTTGCCAGATTCCCTTGCAATTTCCAAATAAAACGTTTCTCCAAACTCTGTTGAACGGTTTGGAAACCCTGTGAGGTACTTTACTAAAGGGGCACCCAACCCCAGATCACGCACCGGCACCACAGCGCACAAGTGAGTGAAGCTCCATCCATACATGTGCAGGATCCAGGCAGCGTGTAAAACCACACACACATACGGTCCATGGAAAAACCACCCTCCACCAAACCAGTCAAAAAAACGGGGAAGTTGCTTTGCTATAAGGAAGAATTTACCAAACTTGGCTGTTCTTATGTAGTTTGTGAGAACTGGGCCTCATCCAACATTTTGAGTGGAACTTATTGATATCCTGCTCTTTTAACTTTACAGGGTTTCAAGGAAGTAATAAGTTTCTGTTAGTAGACTATTTCTACATGTACATACGCAGGTGTGAGGGGATGATTCAACTTTTAACAGTTGTGGAATTATGAATTTCTTTGGGATGGCTTGTAAGCTGTTTATGTATTCAGTAGATGCTTGACTAGGCAATTGATTTTTCCTACTTTTGTTTTCATTTCTTTGTCTGAAGGAAAGAGATAAAATCATGCCTCTAATTATCCAAGGATTTAAAGATGCTGCAGAAGAGGCAGGAACATCAGTGACTGGTGGTCAAACAGTATTAAACCCTTGGATTGTTTTAGGAGGAGTGGCCACAACTGTCTGTCAGCCTAATGAGTTTATAATGTAAGTTGGAGCATTTTATGCCAAGGAAAAGGTGCTGAAAGTGTTAAAAGAGGTAGCTACTTCTAAAATTCTGAATTGTTTCTTTTATGTGTTGTTCAATTTAAGGAAATTAAATGCTTGCCTTTGGCTCTGGACTGGGGATGTTAATAACAATGCATATTTTCCTGGTGAAGCTTTACAAATGTATTAAGATTCACCTTGCAAAGCCATAATTGGCTTAATCATGACTTATTTAAAAAGTTACACTTGGTCAGGCTCATATTTGATGCCAAATAATCAACTATGATTTGCAGTATTCAGTGTTTGGATTAAAATAATGCTGTAAATAAAACAAAAAAATCACATTGCAGATTCAATGATAACTTTAGAACTCATTGTGGTAGCAGTTCTACAATATATGGGGTTATATTGAGTTTTTAATATATATGGGGTTATATTGATGAGCCCCATGTAGGAAACTGATCTATTTCATCCAAGTTGGAAAACCAGTGTGACTGTAAATCATTTAATGATTCCAGCTGTTAAAACCCGAGCTCTGAAAATCTGTCTTATTTTTAGTGTCTAAAATAAAGGCAACAAAATCTTATCCAGAAGTTGTTGTTGTTTTTTAATAGAAGTAACAGACACTGAAAGTAGTAACAATTTACTTTTAGGGCAAAATTGTCATATTAGCATTAAATGTGGCTCAGATAAAAATCTACCAATAATCTTCATTATATATATTTTGATACATGAAAAAAAGTACTCATTTAAGATATGGTAACTAAATGAGTGCCTTTTTTGGTTGTGTTCATTTTATTTTAAATAAGATCTCTGGATAATATTAAAATAAACTTTGGTGGAATAATTACTGAAAAATAATGATGGGGTGTGTGCTTTTTAATAATATATGTTCATTACTTCTAGGCCAGATAATGCAGTCCCGGGAGATGTGCTGGTGTTAACCAAGCCATTGGGAACACAAGTAGCTGTAGCTGTCCATCAGTGGTTAGACATCGTAAGTAAATCACTTTAAATATAAATCCAGCAAAGGGGCAGCCCCTATCTGGGACTAAGCTATGCCAAACTTTGAACAAAGTAGGCTAAATGTAATTTACTTAATACCAACCTGTTCTGTTGGTTTATATTCTTTTCACATACATTAAATATCTGGAGATAAAAGTGTCATTGTAAAAACAAATTTCTGGATGTACATTGACTGTGTAGAAATCTGTTTCAGGAAAACACTTTTTAGTGTACTTGAAGCAAAATTTATTGAAGAAGAGGAAGTGTAGAAAAGCAGTAAGATAATCCTGTTTTTCTAGTTTGCAATTAGAAATTCGTCATGGAAATAAAATACATTCTGAAACTCTGTTTCAGATGCTGCTAATTGACAGAGTTGGAAGGGACCTTATAGGTCTTCTAGTCCAACTCACCCCCCCCCCCACCCCCCACCCCACACACACACAGCCAAGCAGACCCTACACTTTTGTCTTTGGTCCTCACCCAGCAAACCGAAAAATCAGTTAAGCAGAATCCGTTTATAAACAAAAGGGATGTTCTGATTGTGGCTGTTCCGATAGTAAAAATCAAAATGCAGCAGGAAATGCTTCAAAGGATTCCTTCAAGTTGGGAGAATCGGCAGTTAATGCTATTCAAATAATAACTGCACGTGTAGATTGATGGGCTTGAATTAGTGTGCAACCAAGAAATAAATCTTGAGCGTTCAGTAAGAAGACTATGCTAGCATGCTGCTAGTGAGTGCCAAATCCCATCCTAAGATTATCAGGAAAGGATAAGAAGTAACCGACGTGTGTGTGTGTGTGTGTGTGTGTGTGTGTACATATACATATATACACACACACATATAGATAGATGATAGATAGATAGATAGATAGATAGATAGATAGATAGATAGATAGATAGATAGATAGATGGGTGGGTGGGTAGGTAGGTAGGTAGGTAGGTAGGTAGGTAGGTAGATATAAAGTAAAATACCCCGAAATAGCTGTATGTAGCCTTTCTCTTTCCTTCTGTGCCTTAGCCAGAAAAATGGAATAAAATCAAGCTGGTCGTGACACAAGAAGACGTGGAACTTGCCTATCAAGAAGCAATGATGAACATGGCAAGACTCAACAGGACAGGTAAGGGAACAGGTGGCCAGTTCGTTTCGGTCAGCGACCAGGGGGGGAAAAACAGGGTCTGCAGGGCACAGATCTATTTAGATTGCTAGGAAGTCAGGTGGTTAAGGTGGCTCTCTGGAATGGTGTACAGATAGTCCTCGACTTACAACAGTTCACTTAGTTAAAACGGCACTGGGAGAAAAAAAAAGATGACTAAGGGCCGTTTTTCACACTTGACGACCATTTCAGCATCCAGATCACGTGATCCAAATTCAGACACTCGGCAACTGGTTCATGTTTATGACCATTGCTGTGTCCCAAGATCACGTGATCCCCTTCTGCGCCCTTCTGATAAGCAAAGCCAGCGGGGAAGCCAGATCCACTTTATCAACCGTGTGGAAAACTTAACAACGGCCGTGATTCATGTCACGACTCTGGCCAGGAAAGCCGTAAAATGGAGCAAAACTCACTTAACAAACATCTCACTTAGCAACAGAAATGTTGGGCTCTGTTATGGTCATAAGTCCAGGACTACCTGTACAATGTTTCCAGCTATAGAAGAAAGACACACATGGATGCAGCTGTAGAGGCCTCTGGACCAAGAAACCTGGAGGGTATGAGTTTTAGTCCTGCCTTCATGCTGCCGGATGTCTTAGGGCCAGCCACTTCCTTTCAACTTGAAAGGAAGAAGCAGTGCAAGCCATTTCTAAAAACGTAGCCCAGAAAAATCTGTGGGCTTGTTCAAGCAGTCCCTGGTGGGAGTCAGTCACTTTCTTTGTGTCTCCACACCCCTCCCTCCCTCCCTCCCTCCCTCCCTCCCTCTCTCTCTCTCTCTCTCTCTCTCACACACACACACACACTTTTTTCTCATCTGTTACTATAGAAGCAAACCATTTATATATAGCATGGTCGTAATGTTTTCCGAAGAAGAAAATGCAATTCAGGTTGCAATTGGAAATGAATGTTTGGCAAGGAAAAAGAAAAAAATATCTACGATGCATTATCAGAAAATTCAGGCCTATCCCACTCTTTAACTGCAATTGGATTTTTTTTTTTAAAAAAAAAGCTATAAATCTTCTGAGATGGGACAGTATTTCCAAACGATTTTGCCAAAAGGAGATCAGGAATGGACCGTCCATATGTGGGAATGTATGTTTTTTTTTTCCTCCTGAAGAAGTTTTATTCTAGTTAACTTTAACAGACAGATTAACCGAGTTGGAAGGGACCTTGTAGGTCATCTAGTCCGATCCCCCTACCCAAGCAGGAGACCCTACGCCATTTCTTCAGCTTTATTTGAAGGGAGCTGGCAATATAAACTCTGATTTAATTCTGAGGGATGGGCTGAATTCTGAAGGTGCGTAACCCTTTCCCTCTCTTTCTCTCCTCTCAAGCTGCAGGGCTCATGCATACGTTCAATGCTCATGCAGCCACGGACATCACAGGCTTCGGCATCCTGGGCCACGCACAGAATCTAGCAAAGCAGCAACGCAACGAAGTCTCCTTCGTTATCCACAACCTCCCTGTTCTTGCCAAAATGGCTGCAGTTAGCAAAGCTTGTGGGAATATGTTTGGTCTTATGCACGGGACTTGTCCAGAAACTTCGGGTAAATATATATACATGTCTGCAACTCTGGCCCTGAATCTCTCTCCAATAGGAACACGCTCCTCCCTGGAATATGAGGGATATGAACCGGCTGTCTCATCTTCCACAGTAGGAAATTTGATCCATCTCCTCATTAGATGCAGACCCTGGGGAGATCACCCCTCTCTGAAAACATGTCTGCCTGGAATAGGAAGCCCCTACGGCCAAACCCTTCACAGTGCAATCCAGCCATCCTGTCAGCCGCTCCACGATTCGGTCTTCAGAACACAGGGCCATGCCAGTCCCCCTAACAGTGCCTTGTAGCTTCCTAAATAGGGTCAAAGATGAAAGGGATAAAATGTCTAGGCAGCTAACAAAGAAAAAGCACTTCTCATTCTGTTGCCATGTAGGTTTCGTTCCCTTGGCATTTCAGTTCAATAGCGAGAGTCAGGAGGCAGAGGCCTCACTCTACCTTTGCGACTAAAATAGATAAATAATACAATAAAATAGATAAATAAATAAAATAATACCACTCATTAAAGAAATGGAACACGATTCCTCGACCTTCTGTTTGATGAAAAAAGATTTTAAAATATCCAGGTTTTCTTTGCAAAAGCTTCTCGGGAACAGGCCCAATTGATAGTGTGGATGACATAAAAAATAAATACGTAAAAACGAACCATAGGCAATCCAGAATGCCAGTGAAATGCCAGAGCTTCCAATGTCTTTTGTGTGTGTAGTTCAGTTTGTGATTCTTACCAGCTGGAATATTATCGGTGCTTCCTGATCAAAGTCCTGGCAATTCTGTTCCCGGCCATTCTGGTTGATTCCAGTGCTAGAATTTAATTGATTGATTGATCAAATTTATATAGTGAAGCTGATTTCTTGTTCTCCAAAATACCTGCGTAAAAAATAATAATCACCTTTCAGATCAACTGAATTTTCATAATTTTGAGATCCTTTGTGCTGTTACAAATGGAAGACTTGTGAAAGAAAATGTGTGTAACACATTATCCCAGGATGTCCGTGCCACACAGTTGTCATTATAAATTGGTTCCTTAGAGATTCTTGTAAATGGTCAGAGGATGGCGCTGTTTCCTCAGATAAACCCAAACAACTAGACTATATTGGAAACCTGTGCTGAAAAAAAATCTGCATTTAACAGATGTACACTTGGCTATATACACAAAAGAAGTAGTGTTGTGCAAGTCAGAAATTCTGCCCCGCAAAACAAATTCCTAATTGTTGCCTTTTCTGACTCTGTGTGTTGACATTGCTTTGCATTTAAAGTTGTAATAGTAGATTGTCCACACTTCAGAATGATCAATGCTGATAATTTGTATTCCTTTGAATTGGGTGCTTACTGGACGAATAGGCATTGCCATTAAATGTTTAAATTATAAGTTTTCATTGTATTAAATTATATAAATTAGGAATTAGCAATTATACCGTAGGCATTGTTTCTACGTATCTTCCTGATGGGGTTTGGATTCCATACCACTCAACTTAGTGGCTTTCTCAAGATTTTCTCCCAATTTGTCACTTCCCCCAGAACCCAACTTTAATATTGCAAACAGGGTTTGATCAGGGAGAAGTAGAACAGAACAATTATACTGTGAATGATTTGGGCTTCATGTTGTATTAATCCATCCCAAGGCAGCATTTGCCTTTTTACCAGCTACTTTGGCCTACTGGCTCACTTCACGGTTTTCCCTGTTCACTTCCACCCTGTTCTTTTTAATCCTGTTGCTAAAGGCCTGTCTAGATTACTTGTTCGTAATCTCCTGCCAAATATCAGCCATTTCTCCCAGTCACCTGCAGACCTGATCCAAGTCACGGATAGATAGAAAAAAGTTTGGGAATCGCACTAAGCCCTGCAGCATTCTGTTGAGAATTTGTCCCCATCTGGCTGCTTCATTCTGTGGACCCCATCTGAAAGCAGCATTCAACGCAAGAGCTGGTTGCTTTAGTAAGGAGGAGACTATTGCGCAGAAGGCTGCAATGAGATCCCAGGTATAAAGAGGGGGTGGAAACTAATCAAGGAGAGAAACAAGCTAGAGCTAAGGAGAAATTTCCTGACAGTGAGAACAATTAATCAGTGGAACTCTTTGCCTCCAGAAGTTGTGGCTGTTCCATCACGAGGTTTATAGGAAGAGATTGGATAACCATTTGTCTGAAGTTGTGTAGGGTTTCCTGCCTAAGCAGGGGGTTGGGCTAGAAGACCTCCAAGGTCCCTTCCAACTCTGTTCTTCTAAGCTGCCTTGGAAACAATCATTTGGATTAAGGCAGGAAGAAAAGGACCGCCACAACTTCTGGGTGAGGGCCAAACAAGTTTAATTAGTAAATAACGGTTAAAAATCCGAGTAAGCCAGGCAGCAACTTCGATTTGACCCTGTGAACGAGAGCTAATGCCATCCTTTCTTCTCCTTCTGCAGGAGGCCTCCTTATCTGCTTACCACGGGAACAAGCGGCACGGTTCTGTGCCGAGATCAAGTCTCCAAAATACGGCGAAGGTCACCAGGCATGGATTATTGGGATTGTAGAAAAGGGAAACCGCACGGCCAGGATTATAGACAAGCCTCGAATCATCGAAGTCGCGCCCCAAGTAGCCACTCAGAACGTAAACCCGACACCCGGGGCAGCTTCTTAATCCTAGACGAAATAGTTATTTTTTTTGTTTTGTTTTGTTTTGTTTTGTTTCATTTTTTTAAAAAAACAAAAACAAAAAATAGATCTATTTCCTTTATCATCTTACAGCCTAAAGAACTGTGTAAAAAGAAAGAGAGAGAAGAAACACATTGTGTCTGCAAATCTGGTGGCCTTAGGTCGGTTGGAGCGAGTGAATATAACCCTCTTGCCTCATCCCCCACCTTCTTTTTTTCTCCCTTTTCTTTTTCCTGTTACATGAACTGAAGATGCTCCTGTCTCGAGGCAGCTTCTGAGTTGAGAATGATATTGTTATCCAATACTGTTGATTCATTTTGAATCTTTAGACATTGAATCTCTCGCCACACGGGCTCTTTTTTTTAAAGGTGCTTTCACGTAGCGCAGGCATTGCCCACCGTGGTAATCAAATGCAGTTTGTGTCCTTTTTAAAAAAAATAAATAACTGGGTTTTTTTTCGGGGGGGCTACATGTATATTTATCAATAGCTCTAATTTCGGATGCCTTGAATGAAATTCCAGAAGGCAATAAAATGTTTGATGCACAAGGAGCTGAACCCGGAAGCCAAGAGGGTTGCATGCCTACCTTCGTTCCGTCTTTCCATTTGTACGATTTTTAGTTGTCCTCTCCATGAAAATCTGTGGCCTCGGACATAACGTGGTAGTACCAGAAACACACGAGTTCTGCGTTTGCACGAAGAGCACTTGGCAGAGTGCGAAGGAAGGAGTAGTTGTGTTCTTTGTAGCTCAGACAATGTTTACTTTTGTATTACCGATAATCGCTTCCTTTTTATCGATGGTATAAACACTATAAATAAGTTTTCAGCAGGGATGCGGTGCGCTGAGAAGCAGCAGAATATTGCCAACGGAAGGGTATTCGATCATCATTTACAACTCTCTATATAATTACACAAACAATTTTAAAACTATAACCAATTTAAAAAAACAAAACAACCCTGTTCTGTGGATGGTAGTGTTTAATACATTTTATATTTTGTATAGTGATTATATTTTTTTGCTTTTCTTAAAAACCGGATGTCTAGTACGATGCTTAGTTATTTTTGTTCGGCCTACATTCTTGTGCACGCTTTTTTGTGGATGTGTTTAAAAGCTACGTTGCCAACTTTGCAGCCTGAACTTAAGCTTATTATTTGAATAAATATTTAATTTTTTTATTGCTCTTGTGCAAGTGGATGACTTTTTAACTTTTATGCCTGAGCTATACTGGGAAGTGAGAACGAAGTGTTTAAGTCAGGTTGCTACCTTTAAATTAACTACCACTTAAGTTGTTTTTAAAAAAAGGTTTGTTTTTCGTCTAAAGCAATAATAGTGTTTAATTCCCAGTATCATAATGTAAAATGTGACTATTCATGCATCATGATAACAGGTCATATGAATACCTCTTCCTGCTAACAGTTGCACATATGCAGCAAATGTTTCTGATTCTGAAGTCTTTACTGAAGAGCTGTATTCTAATCTGGTTGGGTTTTATGTATAAAAATGTCTTAAAAGGAGATTGTAACGGGCATCTCTGCAATAAGAACCTTTTCTTGTGCTTATAGTTTTGAAAGAATGAATGAATCTGAAATTTAGATAAGTTTTTCTGGAAGATCCCATACATGGAGCAGGCCCTTTTGAATGGAGATATAGCTACTTGTGTTCTTTGGCGGTTGGATTTTAAACCTTTTTAATTTTTTTGTATGCAATAATTTGGTATTACACTCTTCCATGTTGTGAACTTGTCCTTAAATTGTGATTATATGATTCTAAAACACAAACTTCACATGTGAGGGCATGTGCCATATTTAGAGAAACAGCAGCAATATATATATATATACATGAAAGTTCCTGTGTATTTCAGTTCCTATTCCGTATTTCTCCACTTGAGAATACACAGTTATTGAAACTTGTACAATTTCTACACATAGGAAATTAATACAAACGTAAGTGAATATTTGTAGCTCAGGGTCGAACCTTGGTGCTGTCTAAGCTTCAACTGTTTTCTTGCAGATGTTTCATTACCCAACCAGGTAACGTCATCAAAGCTAGAAGGGAGTGGGGTTTGCTCTCTCTTTTTATATATATATATCTTATATCTTTTTTATATGCCCCGTCCGTGATGGCAGGAGTGTTGTTTCTTGGTAATTCCTTCATTGGGCTGTTTGTATTGCAACAACCCTCAACATCAGGAAAATGCAGGGGGTTGGACTAGAAGACCTCTAAGGTCCCTTCCAACTCTTATGTCTTGAAACATCTACAAACTGGATGCCCACGCAATTTCATCAGAGTGCCTCGCCCCATTACCAGTGCAAGACTTAACAGCGGTTTGTTTACTGACCATTCGAAGTTACAATGGCACTGAAAAAAGGGACTTGTGGCCTTTTCCCACACTTGCGACCGTTGCAACATCCCCCGTGGGGGTCACGTGATTTACATTCACATTTATGACGGTCGCAGTGAGTCCCTGAACAAATGTGGAGAGAAGTCGTCACGTGGGGCGAAACTCAAAACAGATTCCTCACTTAGCAACTTAAATGGTGCGCTGAATTGCGGTCGTCAACCAAGGCTACTTCCTGTCCAAGCAACACAATCTATGAGAAGGACAAAACTGGGATATACTGTATTTCGGAAACCCCCGATTGTAACGGCCGCGGAGTATCACCGTAGCACACCAACTACAGCAGCAGCTGTGAGGAAGCGGCCAAGCCCAAGAGAGCACAAAGGACCCTTCAACCAATGCAGAATGACTCCGAATATAGTTTATGTAGCTTGCTAAACTCTTTTCATCAACTTCCTCGGTGCTTTTTTACCCATCCTGGCAAAAGGCGTTTATACTCTCAAGCAATCCTTTGGTTTACAATTAGCAGTAGCTCTTGAGTAATTTCTGGGTGGCAAATGATTTTAGCAAATCTCACATGCTGTTTGGTGGCAGAGGTTAATTGTGTACAGTGGGCAGTTGGAAATACAGAGCAGATTTTGCCAAGATTACTTGGCACCCAAGTCTTCAAGTCGCCTTATTTCTTTTTTCACCATCTCCCCCCCGTTTTTTTAATGTTCAGAAAGAGCCTTTTCAAACTAGCATTTTTTTTTTTTTAAAGTGTAATGTTTGACCTGTGTGTTTTGCAGAAAATGCGGTGGAATAAATTACCAATTCAGCGATAACGGAATCTGACTTCTGTAGTTGAATGATTTGTTGATTTGAGATTTGTCATTTATTCTCCAGAAGGGCTTCTCAAACTCGAAATATAATCAAGGGATTTTCTCCCATATGTAATTCTTTGTTTTTTGATTCTGCTAGGGATGTAGCAGAGCCAGCAAAATTTTTATTTATTTATTTATTTTTTATTTTATTTTGTCAGGCAATTATAAGATAACAGGTATAAGTATAAACATAGTTATGAATACATGAAATGGATGCATATAAGAAAAATAAAAAGAAACAATGGGACAGGATTATGCGCTTATGCATGCCCCCTACATGTAGTTATTTGCCAGATTTATATACAGCCCGGTCCCATCACGTGTCTGGGCATCTTTTAAAAATACCCCTAAAAACAATAATACTTTGTGTCGGAGCTTATATACAGAGGTGCTTAAATTAGTTCAATGCTTCTGCATAAATATGACCTAAAGTGTGATCTGTTTTTCACACGACCTAATACTCTACAGAGGGACCCAATTAAACAAAGCAGTCATAAACATGATACTTGTTCATTTATTTATGGAGGAAAATAATTGAAAGCTACATCATCAAAATAAATACTTAATTCTGTTTCTGAAATGTTTAACACTTCACCAGGTAAGGACAAATTCTGAATCGATGTTCAATATTTGAATCTCAGATGTAAGGGCCAAAACCCCTTTTGAAATCAGTGAATCCATTTTCAACGTATAAATATTTTCATTTAGATATTGACATTTAGAAGACAAATTTGGTAGAATTGCAACCTATCTTCATGTAAACGTAGAGCTAAATTAGTTTCCCTAGTTTACGCATGTTAAATTTCAGCTTCCACTGAATTCTTAGTTAGCAAAGTCCAAAGGAGATAGTAGTTTGAAAATGTTGAAACGTTCTGTGATCCTTGATTAATTCCAACTCTGTCCTGACTGAAATTTTATTATGAACCAAAGGGCTGAGAAGAGGTAATTAGGACTGTCCTCTTTTCAATTACAAATTGAAATTACTTACTTTGTGGCTTTTATATTGCAATGTTACAAGCAGGGATCAGCATATTAAAGTCTAGCTGGTTGGTTACCTCACAAATATTGCCAGATTATAATTTGTGTTGTATGGATAATCTGCGAAAGGAATGAATAAGGAATAATGAAAGGGTGGTTAAAGTGCAGAATTAACTTTAGATAGCAATTTTGATTAAATCTTTTTAGGTGCAGTGTGTGCATTTTTATACTGATTAACGTGATACAGTAAATATTCTGGATTTTTTTTTAATCTGTAAGAAATAGTGTGAAGTTTTCTAATAAATTCTTTGCTTCATCAGAATCTTCTGTCAACTTTAATGGCACACCATGAAAAATGGATTTTGGAACAGAACAGAACAAGGTTATTTGGATATGGCATTAATAAGTCTTTTTTTTTTAAATGAAAAAGACAGTTGTGAATCTAGATAACACAATGTTTTTCTTTCCAGATTGAAGGGTTTCTATTAAGATGATAAATTTCACTCCAACCCATTTCTTAGTGAGAACTGAAAGTGTATTTAAAAAAGAACAGCCCACCCTAGAGCTTACTAAATCAATTTTCTTTTATTTTTGTAATGACGATTTTTATTATAACATCTTTTCTCAGAAGTACAATTTATCTTTTTATGCAAAAAAAGAATAAGGAGAAAAATAGAAATACTAAGGAAAATGGGACATTGTATGCTTTTAAAAGTATACAGTTCAATCGAATCCACCAGAATAGAGTTGGAAGGGACCTTGGAGGTCTTCTAGTCCAACTCCAGATGGTTGTCCAATCTCTTCTTCAAAGCCTCCAGTGATGAAGCAGCCACAACTTCCTGAAGGCAAGCTGTGAATTGACCTCCCTGTTAGGAAATTTCTCTTTAGTTCTAGATTGCTTCTCTCCTTGGTTATTTTCCCTCCATTGCTTCTTCTC